GTGTTGTGGAGGAGGAGATGGAGTACGACTCTCACGGTCTCTCTGTCACAGACTCACAGTCCCACAGTGGAGATCTGTACATGCAGGAGGAAATTAATAAATTCTTGAATGACACGTTTGGAAAACCTGTAGACATTTTAGACTATTTTTCAGACACAGACACATTTATGAAAAGTGTTTTGGGCATACAGAAAGTGGTTGATGTGGATGATTTAGATGAAAAGAAACGTTTCCATCTAAAGAAGCACGTGACGAGTCTCAGAAAGCTAAAAAAGAGAGATGAAGAGAAAGGTTCCAAAAGGTTAAGAACCTCTAAGTGAGTCTATGATGGATGTGATTCACTTAATCTTTCTGTTACTGGTTCTTCCAGCTGTCTACATCACCGCTCTGTTTCTTTTCTCAGTGCACAAGGTGAGGGATTGTTTTTTTAATATTGCTGAGGTGACAGGAATGTCTATTGGATGGGAATGGCTGCTACCTCAGCTCTCTCACAGGGGGAGGGTCATAATTGTCAATGACTTGGTTATCTCGACCCTTTGGCATGTGAGATGTTGAAGGCGCTGGACACGGTTGGGCTGTCTTGGCTGACACGCCTCTTCAATGTCGCATGGGGGTTGGGATCAGTGCCCATGGACTGGCAGACCGGGGTGGTGGTTCCCATCTTCAAAAAGGGGGACCGGAGAGTGTGCTTGAATTACCGGGGTATCACACTACTCAGCCTCCGGGGAAGGCTTATGCCAGGGTGCTGGAAAGGAGGCTCCGACCGTTTGTCGAACCTCAGATTCAAGAGGAGCAGTGCGGATTCCGTCACGCCCGTTGAACAGTGGACCAGCTCTTTACCCTCGCAAGACTACTGGAGGGGTTCTGGGAGTTTGCCCAACCAGTCTACATGTGCTTTGTGGACTTCGGGGGTTCTTGTGAGGGGTGCTGCGGGAGTATGGGGTGCCGGACCCGTTACAACGGGCGATCCGGTCTCTGTATGACTACAGTAGGAGCTGTGTCCGCATTCTCGGCAATAAGTCAGACACGTTCCCGGTGGGTGTTGGCCTCCGCCAGGGCTGCCCTTTGTCACCGGTCCTGTTCGTGACTTTCATGGACAGGATATCTAGGTGCAGCCGGGGGGCGGAGAACGTCAGGTTCGGGGGTCTCGGGATCACCTCTCTGCTGTTTGCAGATGATGTGGTCCTGTTAGCCTCCTCGGATCGTGACCTCCAGCATTCACTGGGGCGGTTTGCAGCCGAGTGTGAAGCGGCGGGGATGAGAGTTAGCACCTCCAAATCTGAGGCCATGGTTCTCTGCCGGAAACCGGTGGATTGCTCCCTCCAGGTGGGGACGGAGTGCCTACCTCAAGCGAAGGAATTCAAGTATCTCGGGGTCTTGTTCACGAGTAAGGGTAAGCTGGAGCGGGAGATCGACAGGCGGATCGGTGCGGCTGAAGAACAATGTGCAGAGAAGGGTCATCCATGCTCTGCGCTCTGATTCAGGGCAAGAAGTCAGAGACGCAAATGATATCCGGAGGAGAGCGGTGAGTTTTTACTCTAAACTCTACTCTGAGGAATACACCAATGACAATGAACTGTTTGAGTCCTTCTGTAGAGAGCTGCAAAAGGTCCCAGAGGATGTGAACGCCGGGTTGGAGGGTCCTCTGGTGACAGATGAACTGTACGCGGCTCTGCAGGGCATGGAGGGGAGGAAGGCCCCAGGAATCGATGGGATCACAATAGAGCTCTACAAAGAGTTCTGGAGCGTGATGGGGAGGATCTTTTAACTGTTTTTAACGAGAGTTTGAAAGACATGATGCTACCGCTCAGTTGCAGGAGGGCAGTAACAACTTTGCTACTGAAAAAAGGAGGCCTGCAAGAAATGAAGAACTGGCGTCCTGTGTCCCTTCTCTGCTCAGACTACAAGATCCTGTCCAAAGCGCTGGCCAACAGTCTAAGAGATGAGATGGACCAGGTGATCCACCGAGACCAGACCTAGGGTGTGCCTGGCAAAATGTGTCCTTAATTCGTGATATTTTGGAAATCTCTGGTTCTTTGGGCATTAAACTGGTCTCATTTCGCTAGACCAGGAAAAGGCTTTTGACCGGGTTGAGCACCTTTACCTCTGGAAGACTCTAGAGAGTTTTGGCCTCAGCCCAGGTCTCATAGCTATGATCAAGGTTTTGTACCAGGACATTGAGAGTGTACTGAATGAATGGAGGTCTTAGTGCCCCCTTTAGAGTGTCTAGAGGGGTGAGACAGGGCTGCTGCCTCTCAAGGATGCTGTATGTGCTGGCTATTGAACCCATGTTGTGCAAAATCAGAGCGAACATTGAAGGTCAGGTTTTAAAGGGTTTTAACAAAAGTTTTATTTTATCAGCTTATGCTGACGACGTTGTTGTCTTTGTTAAAAACCAAGAGGAGGTCAGTAAACTGACCACTATTGTCAAAGACTTCGGCACCCTGTCAGCCGCAAAGGTTAACTGGACAAAAAGCGAAGCACTGGCAGTGGGGAACTGGAGGGAGGGTCTGCCCAGTCTACCAGGGGGGTTGACCTGGAAAAAAGACGGGTTTAAATATCTTGGTGTGTATGTGGGGAATGAATGTACTGTAAAAAAGAACTGGGAGGGAGTTGTGGAGAAAATGCAGGGAAGACTGGCAAAGTGGAAATGGCTGAAGCCACAGATGTCATACAGAGGCAGGACTCTGGTCATCAACAATCTGGTGGCTTTGGCTCTGTGGCACAAGCTGGCCTGCATGGACCCCCCTAAAGGCCTCACACAGAGACTAGAGGCCATCCTAACAGACTTCTTCTGGGACAGGCTGCACTGGGTCCCTCAGAGCGTACTCGTTTTACCTAAGGAGGAGGGGGGGTCAGGGGCTGGTGCACATTGACAGCAGAGGGACTACATTCAGGTTCCAGTTTATACAGAGATATCTCACAGGTCCAACAGATGTGGTGTGGAGAGGTGTGACAGCTGGTCTGGGAGTGGACGCTGCACTTTTTAAAATGGATTTCAATCTTTTTAAATTGTGTGGATTATCTCCTTTTTACCAGTCACTTTTTAAGGCATGGAACTGTTTTAAATGGATGAGACCGGAACCCATGTGCTCACTACACTCGCTGCTTCGGGAACCGCTGGTGTACGGAGCCAGGTTGGGCATACAGGACGGCACAACTCTAGGTCTCAGCAGGATGCTGCAGGAGTACGACAGAGGAGAGGAAGCTCCTGACTCTACAGATCCATTTCCGGATTTAGGATTTATTCCACAGCTGAATGGGGTCTCAGGACCATCATTCAATGAAACAGTCTAAACTCTTGGACCTCCACACAGTGAAAGGGAAAACTGTCTACACAAACTGTGTGAAAGTGCTCAACAGAAACAAACTGAACCAGAGAGCCGACACTGTGTGGAGACAGAAACTGGACTTGGACACTGGTGTGAAACCAGTTTGGAGGGTTTCATACAGACCTATTAAAAAGAGAACTGGAGATCTACAGTGGAGGATCCTACACGGTGCTATTGCTGTTAACACTTTTATTTCTGTCATTAATCCCACCGTTTGTAGCCAATGTCCATTCTGTGAAACAGTGGAGACCGTTTTCCACAGTTGTTATCATTGTGACAGACTCTGTAACACACTGCAGGATGTTTTTAAAGGGTTTGGTGAGACCTGGTCCAGGACCACCTTCATTCTAGGAGTCTGCTATAAAAAGTGAACTCCTCCAAGTGGAAGCTGTTGAACCACTTGGTTGGAGAGGCCAAACTATCTATCTATACAAGCAGGAAGAACAGAGTAGAGGACAGAGCAGGACAGGAAGCTCTTCCTGTCTTCATCTCTCTGGTCAGAGCCAGACTCTGGGTGGATTTTAGATATTTTAACAGTGTGAACAACATGCAGGATTTTAATGAAAAATGGTGCTACAATGAGATAATATGTTGTGTGTCTGGAGACGAAGTAGTGTTTAACACTCCTTTTAATACATTGGGAAGAGTAACTGTTTTTGTTTTTGTGTTTTTCTCTCTCTCTCTCTCTCTCTCTCTCTCTCTCTCTCTCTCTCTCTCTCTCTCTCTCTCTCTCTCAGCACCATCTTCTTTCACTTCCGTCTCTCTCAGTGATCATGACGGCAGTCGGCGCAGAAGTCGGCGTGTCGTGGTTCCTGACATCAGGAGTCGTTGGTTTCCTCATCGTCCTCCTCCTCTCCATCTTCCTCACAGCTCTCTGCAGCGAGTGCAGCAGGTCAGCTGGTTCTGTGTTCTATATTTCTATTTCTGTCTACGAATGCATGTTCTGATCCAAACCAACAATCCGAAGCCGAAAATATCTTCTTCCTGTGTGCCATAGAGCTCTATTACAAACACATCAATGCTGTTGCATTGGGTGACATGTTCCTTCATTATCATAAACATACACACTATAGTTTATTTTGACGCGTGAGACTCGTCACACGGCAGCTATTTGGCTATTTACACCTGATTTAGCAATAGCTAACGAACCAAAAAGCCTTCTGACACAAAGGAGCACTAAAAGGTAGGTAGAGGAGGATTTAGGAGTAGTAGTAGAATGTCAAAGTATATTAAAGGAACAGTGTGTGACATTTATGGGGATTAATTGATAGCAATGGAATATAATATTCATAACTGTGTTTTAATCGGTGTATAATCACCTGCAACTAAGAATCGTAGTGTTCCCATTAGCTTAGGGAAAGCCATTTATATCCACGTAGGGAGAAGGTTGTCTTCCACGGAGTCCGCCATCTTGCACCGCCATGTTTCTACAGCAACCCAGAACGGACAAACAGAACACTGGCTCTAGAGAGAGACTTTAATGTTTATACACACACACACACACACACACACACACACACACACACACACACACA